GCGCTGCTCCGCCAGCCCCTGCGACCTCCGCGCGCTCTGTGCATCCGGGCCGCAGGCTGTCACAGCCAGGTGAGCCACCCTGAGCCGGCTCCGCCGATTCCCGGAGGAGCCCCCTGCCTGAAAACTTAGATTTGCAGCCTATATTGTATTGTTACAATTGGTTTTTACTTTTTAAAGGTCTGTTTCTTTTATGTGTATGGGTATTTTGCGTACCTGTATGTGTGCACTGCGTACGCGCCTCGTGTCAGCAGAGATCGGAAGTGGCGTCGGATCTCCTGAGACTGGAGTTACAGGCGGTGGTGAGCCACCATGTGGTTGCTGGTGATGAACCCAGATCCTCTAAAAGATCCGTATCTCCAGCCCTGAAATTGGTTTTTATTGATTAGCCACTTTGTACCTGCACTGAACTAAGAGTTTTGGATGCTTTTGTCATTTTGTTATTGGAGCACTCTCAGAGGTTGCGGGTTTTATCTCCATTTTTACAGTTGAGTAAGCGGAGACCACAGGATTAAATGACTTACAGGGATACAAAGCAACTAAATATTATAATGAGGTTTACTCTCAGTCATCTGAAATTCTTGAACATGTTAGAATTTGAGCCAGATCTATATAGTCTCCCAAGCCATAAATAAACTGAGTTAATACACATCAACAAATTTACCCTAAAATGAATCTCAGAGAAACATTTTCAGCGACAGTTGAATTTTGTAATTAGAATAAAGAGTTATGGACTTGAACTCACACTTCTCTTTAGGGACTCTCCAGAGTATGGAATTACCACCATTTGTATTTCTGGAAGCCTGATTCTTTTTTTTTTTTTTTTTTTCCAAGTACATTTATCTATTAATGTGTGTGGGCATTGGTGTGCCATGGCACATTTCTGTTCTTTTCTTCACTTGTAGGGTATGGGGATTGAATTTAGGTGGTCACGATAAGTGTCTCGCACCATTACCCACAAGCCAATTTCACTAACACTGAGTTAGTGGCTGTCACCTCTCTCTGAAAGCAGATGCTTTTTACTGTCATGCTCAACAGGGTTCAGATCTTTTATTCATTTTAAATCATAGCATTTTGCTGGTCTGTTTTACTTTTTCCAATCAGGAAATTTATTCCTATCATTCCATAGGTTTTATTGTGTGTGAATGTAAGTACGTGAGAGGGACAACTTGTGGGAATTGGTTTTCTCTTTCAGCCATGTGAGTGGGTCCCCAGATCTAACTCTGGTGGGTGGGTTTGGTGGATACCCACTGAGCCATCTCCTTGGCCCAGGTTTCTTTTTCTTGGGTTGGTTCTGTCTTTGTGTTCCATTTACCCTGTCTTCAGGTCTGATAAATGACTCCATTTGTTTGTTTTTGAGACAGGGTCTCACTATGTAGCCTTGGTTGGCCTGGAGCTCACTGTATAGACCACCTTGAACTTGTAGTGATCTGCCTGTCTCTGCTTCCTGACTGCTAGGTGTAAAGGCATGTGCCACTTTCTCCTTCTCTCTCTCTCTCTCTCTCTCTCTCTCTCTCTCTCTCTTTCTCTTTCTCTCTCTTTTTCTATTTGAGTAAGATGGGAGAATTTGCGTTCCTTTGGTTTATTTGTTTGAGACAGGGTCTTACTATGTAGCTCCAGCTGTCCTGGAACTCACTTTGTAGATCAGGCTGGCCTCAAACCCACAGAGAGCCTCCTGCCTCTGTCTCCCAAGTGCTAGGGTTACATGTGTGTGCGACTGTGGTTAGCTGAGAACTGGAGTTCTAATTCCTACTTGTAGAAGTTAGTGGCAGTTGTGGGTTCTGTGTCTTTTTTATTCTCAGGGGTTTCAACTTCTTTAGACATTCAAAAACTCCAAACAGCGAAGAAGCTTGTGTAATAAAGACTGAACTTATTATGTATTACAGGCATAATTGGAAATTCAACATGGATTATTGAGGGTGGAAGGAGATCAGGATAGACAAAATGGTATGCAGGAAACTTTTTGCGTGGGATCAAAGGTCTTCTCAGGTTGATGGTCCACAGAATCAAAGATGTCACAGGTCTTAGCCAGTATCCAGAGAAGGTACATCTCATATTCCCTTTTCTTCCAGGTTGCACAGGCAGTGTTAACATCCCAACTGAAACCACATGAAGAGAAACCAAATTTTATCATCAAGGTTCCAAAGGTAACAATGCCCTTTGCCCACCTGTCTGTCAGAGTGCTGTGGAGGGCAAGCCAGCTCTCTTTACCTCTCCTGTCTAACCTAAATCTTTTTTTTTGGCAGAGTGTGTGTGTGTGTGTGTGTGTGTGTGTGTGTGTGTGTGTGTGTGTTATTGCTCTTGAAATTTTTGGTGGGGCTCAAGTTAGTTTCAAACCTTAGACTGTGGACATGATTTAATCTTTGGCCTTAAATGGTCTTGATTTTTACTTTGACTACTTTTGTTTTCCAGGGCACCAGGGATTTCAGTCCTCATCAGATGGTTGTGAGGGAGAAAATTCTTGAGAAGATTATTAGCTGCTTTAAACGTCATGGGGCAAGGGGGTTGGACACGCCAGCGTTTGAGTTAACAGTAAGGGCAGAAGGTGCTGAGAACACCATGGTTTCCTAGCCTTCAGTTTCCCACTGGCTTCTCATCTGTGTTCCCTAGCCAGTCACAGAATGGTGGCTCATTCTGTCTGACTCTTGCAGGAAATGCTCACTGAAAAGTATGAAGACACCTTTGGCCTCATGTACGATTTGAAGGATCAAGGTGGAGAGTTGTTGTCTCTTCGATATGATCTTACTGTATCCTTCTGAGTGCTGGAGCCTGACCTGTTTTCTACTCGAATCCAGAGGACTCTGTCTGGCAGAAGGGAGTAGAGGGATTTTGATGGTACCTTTCATTTCCATTTTCTCCCAGGAGGCAATTCTGCTATCAGAGCCTAACCTAAAGGCCCCGTTATTTAACTTCTGTGCATATGGAGACTCTTTCCAGGAAGTTTGCAGAAACAGATTATTGAGCCTAGCTCCAGAGATCCTTAAATGCTGTAATTGGAGTGGTGTTTATAAATGTGCATGTAAAAGGAAATGATTATTGTATGTGTGTGTAGACAGATGGTGTTCATGTGGACATGATGTGCAGATCAGAGGACAGCTTTGTGGAATCAGTTCTCTCATGATACAGGTTCTGGGGATAGAACTCAGATTGCCAGACTTGTGCAACATGTCCCTTTTCCCACTGCACCATCTTGCAAGTGCTAACCCAGAGGTTCTCAGCCTGTGGGTTGTGACCTCATAGGGGTTGAATATCAGATGTTTACATTACAATTTATAACAGTAGCAAAATTACAGTTACGAAGTAGCAACAAAATTAATTTTATGTTTGGGGCTCACCACAACACAAGGAACTGTATTGAAGGATTGCAGCATTAGGAAGGTTGAGAACTGATACTCTAAACAATTCTGGAAAATATGCATTTGGTCTTTGGCCTGTGCCTTCAGAAAGTGAAATGCCTTCATCAGCACCAGCACTGCTAGGCTTCAGAGACAGTGGGAAACAAGCCTGGAAAGGTCCATGTTCTCATCCTGTAAGATAGGATGATTTCTAGGAACCCAGTTTTCCCTCCTGTCTGAATGGTGGGTGTAAACATTGAACATAGTATCTTTCTTCCTCAACCTGTTTACATAAGGTCCCTTTTGCTCGCTATCTGGCCATGAATAAACTGAAGAAGATGAAACGCTATCAAGTTGGAAAGGTGTGGCGGCGAGAGAGCCCAGCCTTAGTCCAGGGCCGCTACAGGGAGTTCTGCCAGTGTGTGAGTGACCTGACCCAGATATCATAGTTTGGTTATAGTTAAGTTGGGGATTAACTCATGGGTGGGAGGTTTGTTTTTCTCCTTTTTTGTTTGTTTGTTTTGTTTTGGTTGTTTTGTTGAGACAGGTATTTGAGACATCTGTGTATCCCTGGGTGTCTTGGAACTGACCAGGCTAGTCTTGAACTCACTGAGAGCTCCATCTGCTTCTACCTCCCAAGTGTGCCATTAAAGGCATGTGCCACTAGGACTTGGCTTTCTTTCTCTTTTTTTCTGTAGGATTTTGATATTGCTGGTGAATTTGACCCTATGATCCCTGATGCAGAGTGTTTGAAGATCATGTGTGAAATCCTAAGTGGATTGCAACTCGGGGACTTTCTCATTAAGGTGAGGCCAGCCTGGTATACATGGTGAGGGAGAAGTTTGGTTTAGGACTGTGAAATTGTCTTTCTATTGCTTTTTATGAGTGAAGAGATTTAGAGATGGTCATTGTTTTGAGGAAAAGGACATTGATTGACAGGACACGGGTTTATTCCATTGTGTTCACAGGTAAATGACCGGC